TTTCACATGTTGATAAATTTGATCTATTGTTTCCCATTATAACTAGGAGACAAATAGTAACGTTAGTTTTGTTACTTTCTTGCTTGGATAGCTTTAGCACAGATCTTATTCTTGACACTGAATTTGCTTCATTAAAAATACTATCATTATTCATACTTTCTGTTTGTTATACTGTTGGTGAGCTCATGCGTGATGTATCCTAGAAGACTTTGTCATCCACAGATCACTTTACACAGTGCTTTATTTTCCTAGCTTCAGATATTGCATCAAAACCTTACCTGTCTGACTTTTGTTGAGTGGTCTCTCTTATTGTCTCTTACTGATTTGGATTCTTTATGGCCTCTCACTTTCCTTTCGATTCTTTCTGCTTCTGAATTCCTTGTTCGTCAAAGTTTATTACTTGCTATTACTTTCAAATCACATTGCATTGTTTCTATAGAAATAAATTTCAATGTGTTTTAGACATGCATTCTAGTTTGCTTTCTGTTGTTGTGATAAACACCATAAACAAAAGTATTGTGGTGGGAGGAAAATATTTATTTGTCTAATATTTCTAGGTAATAGTCCATCATGGAGGGAAGTCGAGATAGAATAGAACTGAAGCAGAGACCGTGGAAGAATGCAGCTCATTTCCTTGCTCTATGACTCATATATAGTCAACTTTCCTGAGAGTTCCACCCACAGTGGTTGACATCTCCTATATCAGTCATCAACTAAGCGAATCTCTCACTGACATGGCCATAGACTCAATCTGATGAGACAGTTCTACAACTTTGGTTCCCTCATCCTAGATGACACTATGTTGTTCCAAGCGGTAAGGACAAAACTGTATATAGCTTACTTTCTTGTATCTAGATCACTTCTATTCCTTTTTAAAATTGCACCTACTTATGTATGTAAGTGTGTGTGGGGGATGCCGCAGTGTTTATGTGGAAGGCAAAGGACAGCTTGTGAGAATAAGTTTTTGCCTTCCTTCTTATGGGTTCCAGAACGAAACTCAGGCAGTCAGGTTAGGTTGCCAGTGCTTTTACCTACTGAGCCATATTGCTCAAGCCACTTTCCTTTCTCTCTCTCTCTCTCTCTCTCTCTCTTTCTTTTTATTTTTGTATTTGAACACTTGTATTGTCTTAAAGCACAAATCCTGAACAGGGTCAGAGGGTGCTCCGGGTATTCCATGCTCTGGATTTTGTCCTGACATTCTGATTTCATAGTAAAATCACTTTTTTTCCTTTTCTTTTCTCTTTTGAAATTGATTTTAAAAAGCCACTTTTATTTTTTAATGTGATAAAAATGTTTTGCTTATTCTTTTTATCAATCTGGAAAATGTCATGGAGATTACCAAACATATGCTTGCTCTTGTCATAAGATTCTACTACATGTCCCACCATTTTGATAACACAGGAACACTTTGCTTTCTTACCCATAGTTCTCTTGGAGCCTCTAGCTCATGCTCCCTTATTTCACTCTCTAGATGTCCCAAGCTGTCAGTGTTCAAAGCACCATAAGTATCCTTCAGTCTCTCATGAATTGGCTCAAAGCACTTGGCTTCAAGCATCGTTTGGGGTTGCCTGAATCATCATCTCTCTTCATATGCATCAAAAAATCCCTTTTCAAAAGCACTTTAATATTTCTCTTGCAGAGTACACATTTTTCTAAATCTGATCCATTACCCATCTCAGCATATATCAATTTCATAATTACTTATCTATTCCCACTCTTAAGACCCTTCAGATCTTGCAAGAAACTAAACTGTTTGTTAGATATCACCTGTTGACTTCTGGGAAGGACCCTTCACAAACAATACATCTCCACTTCTGATTCTGTTTGCTCATATTCTCAACCAAGTAAAACACCGCTCCTTTCTAATCTCAGCACAAGCCTCTGTATCGATTGAGGATTAATCTTAGTTGCTGTTGGCTGAAATCTTACACATTTCAGTCATCTCAGTGGTCTTGTTTAGGAAATACTGACAACTTTTCTTTGCAAATGGCTACTTTGCATATGCAGATTCATCAAGAAACAATGGGGAGATGTGGAGTGAAGCTTCTGTACATAATTGCAGTTAACAAATTAAAGGTGAAGTCTTCTCAGGTTCCCTCTTGTGTTCATGTCTGTGCTAAGTTGGGTCTCTGGAGATATCCTTGAGGACCTGAGCCTAAAAGGGACTTTGTAGGGTCATAGTTGACTGAATAAGCGTTAGAACAGCAATGTGGAACTCAGACCCAGATCCACCATATCTGAGCATGCTGGCACACTTAAAAAATAGATACAGTTATACTTTTACTCTTTAAAATTTGAGAAGTGTCACCTCTAACTACCTGTCATTAATAGTAACATTCATTTCCAAAGTACACCCTTTCCCTTAATGCTGTCTACCTTCTGCACCTTCTTTAGAATAAAAGTTAAATAACCCAAATAATAACTCCCCAATTACTACAGAAGAAAATACCAGCTATGCTAAAATGAAGCGAGATAGCTGTTACTTGTTGTCATAGGTGTTGAATATAAAAGTAATAATCCGTGCTCATCTCACTTCTTTTGCTATAGTGCCGTAAGTCCCTGAGTGTAAGTGGTCTCATTAAGTTTCTCAAACCAATTTAACTCTAACATGATCTTGACTCACTCTCCAAATCCACTGAGGCCATCCTGTCACAAATGCTCAATGTTACCATTTAAAATTCCAAGTATTCAGAAGATCTGTTTGACCTTCTGGCAGATAAACTTGCCATTCACTCATATACTAAGACACACAAGAACAGCTAAATAAAAAGGAAGACAACGACATTCCTATGTTTACCTACCGCAAGCACTCTTATGTACCCAAAAGCCAAGATTACAAATAACTGGATTCATTAGAAAAACTTTGGTTGTATGGACGAAAGAGCAAGAAGAATTGCTGTTATCAAGATGTTTAGAAACAAGGCATGGAAAGATACAGAGGTTAGAGCACTGGCTGCTCACCAGGGGTTACTGGTTTGATTCCCCCCCACACACACACACACGGTGGTTCATAACCATCTGTAATACCAGTCCTGGGGACCTGACCCCCTTTCCTAAAACATCCACACACATAAAATAAATAGTGTAGAATTTTTAAGAAGACAATTAGAAACGAAGTCCATTGTTTTTAACTATATTCATTGAAGCAATAAGTGCTGCTCTTACATTTATTTCATTCCATTCTAGGGACAATGGACTTACAAATTACTTACAGGAAGTAAAGACACGCTTAACAAATATCATATATGGTAGAATATGGTAACTGCCATGAAGTAAATATACATGTTTTAGCTCTCTAACGCAGTTTTCAATTTTGTAATGCCACATAGTAGGTATTAATATGTGTCTGGTAAATATATAGCAAAACAGTAATGGTACTTAGATGATATAGGAGTCTAAAGGAAAGAGAAATGACTCCAGTCTGGCATGGCTCAACAAGGCTTTCTAAAAGACAATGCATTTGGTGTAAGCTCATAGGATGGAGAAATGGCTCTAAAAGAAACTGACACACCAGGAAGAGATTATCACACAGATACAGAGGCAGGGAAGTGTGAGGCAGATTTTAGAAATACCAAATCATTACTTAGGCAGTACAGAACAGGAAAACTGTCAGGGACAGTAATTAGATGAGACTGCAAAATTAGATTGAACCTGGCCTGCTGAATCTACAACTGGCTGCCTTAGGGGTGTGGGTTTTATTTTGGAAAGAAAGCCCTGTGCATTTCTGTGTCGTGCCATTTATCAGGTTTGCCACTTGCCAAGGCATCAACATCCTTGATCTTGCTTCTGAAGCTATCAATGTCTTCAAAAACTGCTCCTAATTCATTATATTGACAGCTCCTCTCGAAGAAGCTGCTGAAGAGGTGCCTGCTGAGTCTAGCTGCCCCAGAAGGGAATGAATGAAGCAGGATGAGATACATCCCTGAAAGCGACCACCAAGAGGCAGCGCCTCTCATTCGGCTGCTTTCGCTCTTCACAACTGTTACTGGAGACCTTGAGATACATCATGGTACTTTCATTGCAGGTGATCTTAGATTATATCCTCAAAGATGGTTTTAGTATTTAGGTTTATATTTAATTAAACGTATGCATGGGTGTCTTTCTGTGTGTATGTGTATGGAAGTGTGGGTCTCTGAAGAGGCCAGAAAGAATCAGTTTCTCTGGAGTGGAGTTCCAAGTATCCAGTAGGTTTGCTGGGAACTGAACATGGGTCCTATTCCAGAGACCCTTTCTCCAGCTTCAATATTTAGAGATTTAATGAACAAATCTAAATATATGGGGAGAATTTCACACACACACACACACACACACACACACACACACACACAAAATGAGATTTTCCAGAGATTGTTACTGTAGTATAAAATACAGCTACTATCTAATGGCAGATTAATTTTAGAGAAAATGACATTGAACAGGCTTCCTAGATATACAGAGCTGCACCCATTAATCCTGCATGAATACACAGAACCAACTCAAGGGAAATTAACGTAAAATGCACACCTAAGGAAGGAACTTAGAACCACGCTAACAAGATGAGACACCCCTAAATCCTAGAGGATTTATGATATTTGATTTTGTCTTCTCAGATACCTTGCAGGGTTAACATTATTTTCACATCACAGTCAAAAAATTAAGATTAAACGGTTTGAGAAATTTGTCTAAACTAAAAAAGTAGCAGAGCTAGAAACCAAATCAAATGTGTCTCTCAACAACATCTATATTCTTTCTCAAAGACTCCATAACCCTACAGTGTAGCTAAGTACATGGAAAACACAATAAAATATTAATTAAAAATGGATTCTCCATTATATGCCTTGACACTTTTCCAGATCTTTCTACGCTTTAGTTTCCATACTTGTGCAACAATAGGGGAATGTTAGTAGGACAGTAGAAAGCCCTTACCTGTTAACAGATAACACCCTAGTTATCTGTTTGCCCACACTGGTACAAAGTTTCAGATGACGATGGTGTACTTACGTTTAACGTCAAACACTTACCCATGTATTGAAGAGATCCGTATCGGTGTAAGAAGACTTGAGACTCAGATGATGACTGCAGGAGCAACATCCGCCCCAGTATCCTCCTTGGGCAATTGGGAAATCAGCCCTTGTCCAGAGTGCATTTTCTGGAAAAGGTTGCCAGGTCTTCCACACTGGAAGTCCAGCTTCATAAGAAGACACTGTGTTTTCCAAGATGTGCCCATTTGAAGTGCTGCTTCTACCCCTGGGCTCCCAGGGAGAGTCTGGTCTAGCATCCGGTTCCTCCCTTTTCCTTGTATACTTGTTAACATCTTTCTTGTCCTGTGATTTGGTAAATTTCACACAGGACAGCAATGTGTGATCATCACCTTCTGAATGATAAAAGAGCATGAGTTAAAAGTCGAGACTTACGATTCCCCACATGTAGAAAGTGTATGTACTGTTTTCTCCTGTTTAATAGAAATGAATGAACACCCAGGTTAACCCAGGAGGTCATTAAGTTTCACAAAGTTTACAATCATATTTCCTTAAAGAAATAAGTACTTTTGGGATGCAAAGTTGTTTTGTATAAGTCACATTTTCCTCAAACATTTTTAAATGATATCTGTTGATTAACATTAATAAGATTTGAATGAATAGTCCTACATGCAAAAAGCATTTTGAAAGACACTTGAGGAAAAACTACAAATTAAAACAGATTCCCACATCTTAAAACATAACTTGGAGTGCTTCTATTCATAAATATTTTAATTTTTGAGGCCATATGTATAAAAATTATCATAAGGAAAAAATTAAATCATTTGCCTCACTTAAAGAACTGAAATCTCAGTGGATGGGATGTAAATAATATTTGCAGTCAGATTTTTATATTTTAATTTTATTCTTCAGATATACTTTGCATAGTATATATCTCAAAGTGAAACATTATGCAAAAGCGAGAAGAATGTGGAGGAAAGAGAAAAAGGGTATAACATCTTCAGAATTATAAAGTGCATTAGTAAGATTTATATGTGAACACCATGGCAGTGAGTTTGATGAAAGAGCCAGTGTCCATGGGCAATTGTTCCTAAGACCTATGGATAAAATTATGAGTAGTATGCAATCCTATATAGATTATGATTGATTAAGCTTCACTTAGGAAGTAGACACAGAGAATAAAATATTTATGCAATAAGAAGTTAAAATAATATATTGTATTAGAAGTTACATGAATGCTCTCTCTCTCTCTCTCTCTCTCTCTCTCTCTCTCTCTCATGGTACAAATAGCCTACAAAGTAAATATACTGGATAAAGAAATGGCTTGTGGCTCTGAATAGAAGAACCAGGGCATCATCAGATGTCAGCACTCATAAATTGTTTATTTCTGAGATTTTTCTATTAATATTTTCTACCCCAAGTTAATTATAAGCAACTGAAACTGTGGAAAATAAAACTGCAGATCAAGAGCGACTACTCTCCTATGTAAAATAGTTACAAATACAAAAATGGGGATCACTCAAAGACAGTTGCTCTATATTTGAATCTCAATAGAAGCACAAATATGTTTTGCAGGGTTTTGTTACTGAATAAGGAGCACTGCATGGCACAGGCATAGCACCTTTCTCCACTCACATAAGACCATTTACAAATACTGTCTTCTATGACCTAGAAATGGAAACAGAGGACCACTAGCCCTTACTTTCCCTCTGAGTTTTATCCACAGCACTCTCACGTGATCCCAGGCCCTGCTTAAGAGGGACATGATGAGGTGATAGTCAGGAAATGCAGCTAGGATATTTGTTTTCAAATAACAATAAAGGAAAGCTCAAAGTCAATAATTCTGTTAAGACCTCATCAAAGCAGATTTCATGAATACAAGCGTGGCCAATCCCTCTTCAGAGACATTGGAACATTTGCTGAGCTTACGCACGGGGCTCTCTTAACACCGGCTTCATCTCTTCCAGGCTCTGCACTCTGGCTCTTTTGATCCATGGCCATTTCTGCAGTCCCTTTAATGTGCTCCTTGATCCCACTGGGTCACCACTTGATTTTATGGCCTAACACAAACACAGCCCAAGATAAAGTCAAATTATTCTTCATAAAAGATTAAATGTAAAATATGCCAAGATCATAAATGTGAGGAAATTAATAATGTGTTCTTAAAACCTGAAGTCTGAATAATTTAAGCAATAACTCGAATGCCCACCACATGTTGGGGGAGTTCAAAAATCATCAAATATGTCATATCTAGTGAACTAGAGCAGAGGAGTTTTAGCAATTTGTTTTTTACCTCAAAATGCAACAAAATGGGATGAGCACAGAGAAATGTAGAAATGCCTCACTCTTGCCCAGTGTGAGATGGTAGAAAGAACTAAGTCCTTTACAACAAAAGATTTGGGTAGTCACGCTTCACATTGCTGCTAGTTAGTGTTGGAAGAAACAGAGAGAACACAAGGCAGGAGGGCACTGTAAGGAGGAAAGAAAAGTGCAAACTTTCTTTGTTTCCTATTTAGACATTACTTTATAGCTGACTTAGATGATATCTTTCATTCCATGACAATGGAGGCTGAGGTAGGTGAATCTCTTAGAGTTTGGGTCACCCTGATCCCCACAGAGTTCCAGGCTAGCCAAGGAGAAATAATACTGCTCTCAAAAATGAATCAAGTAATGAATTAATTTCTGGAGAAATTGCATTTGACTTCAAGTATGAAATATTTTCAAAAATAAGTCACGTGAAAAGACCTTTGCTTTCCAAAAGATACACACTGAATGAGAACAAGAATATAGTCATACCATTTTTTCTAATGTATCAGCATCTCTTATTATGTCAAAGTATGGATAAAAAGAATTAACAAGGTATGCATGACTTTAAATTCATATTGTATCCATTTATTTTATGTATGTGGGGTACAGAGTCCTGGCACTGTCACAGAGCACCTGTGGTGGTCAGAGGACAACCTGGAGGAATGAGTTCCCTCCTTCCACCATCTGTGTTTTAGAGATAAAACTCAAACTGTCAGGCTTGGTGGCAAGTTCTTCACCTGCTAAGCCATCTTACCTGCTTTGAACCAATGACTTCTGGAGTTTCTTTGAAAAAAAATAACAATAGCCAGTAGATCAATCTGTATTCATGGTGTTTTTATTTATTAAATTTTAAGGATATTCTTCTTTAAGGATTTTGAAAGAGTTTGAAATTTAATACTTCATTATGCCAAGTTTCATAGTAATTTGTATTTTTAAGTCTATATAGTTATATTAACATAATGTGGGGAATATATTTAGAGAGATAGGTAGATAGCTAATAGATAGGAGATAGATAGAGCGATTGATTTCCTGGACTGAAAAATACTTTGCCCTCTGTTTTCATCTCATTCTTCTGATTAATCAGCTGACTCATGGTATCTAAGTAGATACTGCAGTTTTTAAGCAGTGACTCATTTACTTCCTCATCAGTGTGTGACTGTGGCATATCAGAAGATGCGTTCTGTCCCTTCAGAAGGCACTCTCTATATGCTTTAAGACGTGTTCGAAAGTTAAGGCTGTCGGGTGTACAAGCATTTCCAATATTTATAATCAGATTTTCTTTTGCTCTTTAAGAATGACTTTGAACAACCGATAGGAACCTCATGTTCCGTATGTGTATAATAGCACCTAAGGAAGAAATGTGACATTTTGTCAGTGCAAGCCATACTGCTTACATTAAATAAATGGGAAAATATTGAAATAGCTTTAATCTTTCAGAGAGTGCTGTGATGCGATATTCTTAGATATGCAAAATCCCCCCTCACTTGCCAAAGGTCATGTTTGGTTCAACACAATTTCCATTGCTATTTATTTTGGGTATTATTTTCTCAGTCTTCCTTCCCAGTACTTACCGAGCCACTCTGCTTTATAGACTCTTACAATTCGAAGAGAGCTATTTTCTCATCTTTAGCCCCTTCCACAAACAATGAGCTGACATCTCATAGATGGATTTTTTTCTTCTCTGTGCTTCTTTGCTTATGGCAGCCTCCTCCCATTGCAGCCAAAGTTTAATTGTGACAATGAATGCTGGCTCCATAGGCTTCCTCTCCCCATTTTTGTGAGAAAGGCTTTCATTTGATTTAGGGAAAGGTGTGGTATAGAAGGGAACGGTGAACCTCATGTTAATGATTTGCCCCCAGGACAAAGAGAAGCATTTGCAAGGTGTCAAATTCTGAGAAGAGAGATTTTATGGCCCAGAGGTTTGACTACAAACTGACCTCTTATTGTTTTCTTCACACTCTGTAATAGCCTTTTTAAAGCAAGGTATTGTTATTTTCTGCATTATGCTCACTTACTCATCTTTGAATTACCACTTTCCAGTCTACCGCATTTAGTTTTTAGCCCTACATACTTAGTTTGACAGTACTATTTGTTAGATATATTTTTTTCCTAAGAAATAGATTTTCCTTAGTAAATTTTTTACACAGACTAGATACTTTCTGGACTGTTGTTATTAGGTAGTATAAGTCATTATTACCAGAGTTTTAAAATACTAAAGTATCTTTTAAAAAGAAATTTAATAAAAATATTTAAAATAATCTTATTCATCTTTATCTCATAATCTGTTACCTTTAGGTGCATAATAATTATGATCCAAATTTGTAATAATCTTTCCTTTAAGAAGACCACCCCATAGAATCAACTTAATGATATTTAGCCAACCAATAAAACTTTGTCCAACATCTGTATACACTGGGCACTCTCTTCATGTTATGGCTTTGAATAAGGAGATAAGATCACTGCTTTCAGACAATCTGTATTCTACATAAGCCTGGAGAAAAATAGTAAAAAGAAAATGTGACAGAAGAAGTACTCTGTTAAGAGCTAAGGGGGTGAATACATGAGGCCAGAGAATGGGGTTCATTAACTTAGACTGGTATTCAGCATATTCTCTGAATTAAGGCCTGTCTTAGCCTCATTTCTGTTGCTTTGACAAATGCCCTGGCAAGAAACAACTCAGAGGAGAAAGAATTTATTTATTCTTTTCCTTTTTTATTAGAAAGAAAATTATTTTGCATGTCAATCCCAGGTCCCTCACCCTCCTCTCCGCCCCTGCCCCCCCCCAACTAATGCCCTACCCATTCCCTACCCTTTCTGCTCCCCTGGGAGGGTGAGGCCTTCCATAGGGTGTCTTCAAAGTCTGTCATATTCTTTGGGATAGGGCCTAGGCCAACCCCCTTGTGTCTAGGCTCAGGGAGTATCCGTCCATGTGGGATGGGCTCCTAATGTTCATTCCTATGGTAGCGATAAGTACTGATCCACTGCAAGAGGCCCCATAGATTTCCAGGGTCTCCTCATTGACACCCACGTTCATGGGGTCTTCTAGCATCCTCTTCCCATACTGTTCGGGATCCCAGGCCTACTGAATGGTACTGCCCACACTGGGCTGGATCTTTCTACAACAACCAACAATCAAGACAATTCCTCAAAAATGACCATAGGAATAGATAATTCCTCATTAAGATACCCTTCCCAAGTGATTTTTAGGTTGGGTCAGGTTTTTAATCAAAACTAATGGTGACACAGACCAAACTGAGGAAAAGTGGCCAACATGTGACGATGAAAGGACAATTTTGGAGTCAACAGATGAACAGGTCTGAATTCTTGTTGGAGGACGTGGTCACTGGGGTCTGGCTTTGAGGTCTCAGGTTCTCAAGCCACACCTGGTGTGGCTTTCACTTCCAGCTGCCTGCCTATCTAAATATAGAACTCTCCAGCACCTGTCTGCCTGCACGCAGCTATGCTTCTCTCTATGACAGTAATGAACTAACCCTCTGAACTGCAAGCCAAGCCCAATTAAATGTTTTCCTTTATAAGAGTTGCTGTGGTCATGGTGTCTCTTCACAGCAACAAAACCCTAACTAAGACTCCAGCTGAAGTGGGTCAGCCAGGCAAAGAGCAGACAGAAGAAAATTTTACTATTCAAAGATTCAAAAACTGAGATCCTAAGAGAAGTCTTACATGTGTGCCCCAGAAGAGAAAGAAGGAAAAATCCCAAAGATGGACAAAAGCACTTCAAGAAGGTCTTTGTAGAGCACATTGAAGGGTATTCAGACTGTAAGGGGAGAGTCGCAACTTGGTTTATACAGTTTCATCACACTTGAATCTTGACCTCCTTTTCATGGACTTTCCTAGTAATATTGAAATATTCACTGTATTACCAGTTTTTTTCAGTTAACTCTTTTAGGTGTGTGTGTGTGTGTGTGTGTGTGTGTGTGTGTGTGTGTGTGTGTGTTTATTACTATGTGTACTTCCTTTTATTCAATCTCTTGTTGTTTCAAGCTCTCTTAGTGACTTGTCAATCAGTCTGTGTCACTATCCCTTTACGTGCCTATGAGATGCTAGGGAGCATTTTCAAGCTCCTCTGCTCCTTGGCTTTAGTAACCTTGGGCGCAGCCCTTCTTAAAATACTTTGTTTTCTGCACCTGTGACATGATCCTCCCCTGGTTGCATTCTTTTTTCAGCTTTTCCTTTCCTAATTGGTACATGTTGGTAACTTCCTTTTCCTGTACTTAGATGCTTAGATTCCTTCAGGCCAGCTCTGAAGCCTCTCCTAGCATCATCATCATCATCATCACCGTGTTTTTCATGTGTGCACTCACATGTGCACAGCCACATGCAAGTCTGTCCCTATGACCTAAATGACAGAGACTCAGAAGCTGTACCTGCCTCCAAGACTCTGTTCAGAGATTCAGATTTCTGCCACAGACAATCCTTTTAAAATGATTTATAAAGATGATCAAGACTCGCTGGTAGCTTTTTTTCCCAAGAGGATTCCCATCCAGTCTTGTCACCTCACTGAGTGCAATCTTCATCTATCTAACTGAACACTCCGTAAATCAGAAGAGCACAGTCTACCTCTCCTCCAACTTGAGTTGTCATCTTCACTACAACCATGCCAGCTTAGCTTTCTCTCATTAAAAGTATTTGCCAGGTCTCTAAGTGATTTTATTTTCACTTATGTCTGTCTTTGT